CCGACGCTGTGTGTTTTTCCTGCGTTCGAGCCGCGGAGTCCCGCGGAGTCCGCGCTGAGTTCAGTGGGCTGCCGCAGGTGTGCCGAGCCAGAGAAAGCGATGGGCTGATTGTAGATGCAAAATGCAGAATGGAATATGGGGAAATCCAACTGCCAACAGGAAACTGCTCATGCTGGATGGGTTCAACCTACTGTATCTACTCGATGGTGATAGATTCATCTGCCATGCTTCATGAAGGTCTTAGTGCATCGGTCGCAGCCGATCGGAGGGGATCGGTCGCTCAACCGGAGTCCGACCGGTCGGAAACACCGGAAGGCGGTCAACGGTCTCGTGGTTTAGAGTCATTTAGGGAGCAAGAATGTATGTGGGACAGATGGTTCTGAGACTCTAAGACTCACACATTCACCAGTTCATGGGCCAAGTTGTGTGCGATTTTCGCATATCACACACTTCTCAAGGTGGCTTTGGATGGCTGCCGTAGTAGTGTGACAGGCACAAAGGTGAAGGGCTGTATTGTACCGATTGTAGTGCATCAAGGATGATGAAGCTTCATAGTTTATGGTGGTGGGAATGCAGGATGGACAGAGCCAACGCACCCTCCACCGAGAAGAAAGAACCTTTGCTCTGTGGTCGACTTGACGGATGCAACAGAGGAGAGTCCAAGTAGTTGGATGGATACAGTTCAAGGCACCGAGCTCCAATGTATTACATGCAGCTGCAATGTATTCGAGCTTCCCTGCATCGTTGCTTTCGAGGCTCGTGACCCGTTTCCCGGCTTGGCCATGTCCAGCTGGAGTCTCAGCAGTCGGATTTCTTTTGCTGTTCGGAGCCCGGAAGATTTGCAGGTTCACCTCCAGTTGTGTGGAACTGGTGGGGTAGGAATCTGTGGAATCTCAAGTGCTACTTGTTCACTTCACTTGGTAGGGTCATACTTGGCAAGTCCATATGGCAAATCAGCTGGGATGGGTCCACCCTATCCACGCGGTCGTGCCGTGACATGCCCGAGACGAAGACCTGTTTCCATAGTATTGGACCCCAGATGCATCGGCGGGTCGGTTTCTTTGGTCGTGTCAGCGGCCTTTTTCTGAGGATCAGAACATGTTTAACAAAGATTAGGTGATGTGTAATTCCTCACGAAGACTAGGTGATGTGGTTCCGGGGACACTGCTGTTCTTCCTATCAAGTTTGGACATGTGAAGGAATCCCCTAGATCGGCTTGACCTCGGGATCGACTTGGCAGGGTGAGTAGTCCATGAAAATGGTGTACCCAAAGACTACTCGAAGATATTCCTCAGATCTCAAGCTCAATATATTAGCTGCTATAGCTTATTAGCATACCCTGGGAGTCAAAAGACTACAAAAAGAATGGTCTGACTAGGGTGCCTGAAAGGGAAAGTATAGTTTTACTTCACTACGGAAAAAGTATCATTTTTGGACTTCCAGGGGCATAAAAGTATCGCTTATTAGTCAGTTCCAGGCCGTCCCCTCCATCCGTTTCTCCTCGGCCTGTCCTGCCCAGATCTCACGGTCCGGCTGTCCTCGCCGGCGGGCCGCTCGCGGATCGTGCTGCCCAGCACGGCGACGTGCGGGAGACACGGCCCGAACCCGTCACCGGCGGTCGGTGGACGACGGAAGCTCCGCCGGTGGTGGAGGCCGTCCAAAGAGGACGTCCGCCGGTGGCGACTTCGATGGGTTTTTGGTCCTCCAAACTTGGGTTTTGCGCTGGTGTTTTTGGGGCAGATGTAACAAATCGACTTCGCCGGGCGAACAGATTTTGGCACTAACCATTCCAATGAAATCTGATTTTCTGGTCATCCAAGGGATGCACATCTTTGGGGACCTTGTTGAGCTCAGCGTGAGAAAGCCGGACGTCCAATCACTGAAAAATTCGTCCACTTCCTGGGGGGCATCGACTCCCTTCCGGATGGATCACCGACCCATGCCACGTGCACCCAACCCATAAATGTGTTGCCGAGGTGGTCAGCCTCGACCCAGCCTTGCCCCCCCCATCACCGACGTCGCATCCGACGGAGCTGCATCGGCTCCGTCGGGCGTTCTGCACCCGAGGCTGGCCGATCTCCAGGCTGAGGTGAAGGCCCGCTGTGGCGTGGAGTGCGGGTGACCTGGTAGGGCAGCTGGGTGAGGTCCGCGCAGCTGGACGGAGGATCTCCAAAAATCTGGATCTGTGGGTTCTTTTTACTAGCAAGGATATGCAAGGATGCTACTCTGTGTTCCCATTTTCGTCATAGCAGGAATAAGTCCTTCTGTGTTTCAAGAAGATTCATTCATTCCTTCTATAATTATCCCAGGATTTCCCTGCCGTGCTCCACGGCTGTGTCCACCCAAAGACGCGCCCGAAACGACGCACCCGAAACGGGTTTCGCTGTTGAACGAGGTTGGACTGCGAAGATGGGTCTCGAATCAGGCCAGTCTTTGATGGATCCCATGAAGAATCCATTAAATTTCCCAGTCTTTGGAGGATCTTTGATGGATCTTCGGGTGGATCCCTTGTTCGGACATGGCGCAGTGGACATCTTCCAGATGTATCTGAAGCATCTGAAGCAGTCGATCTTCTTGGACCTCGAAGAAGTCGAAGAAGATCCGGTGGATCACCGGTGGGATCAACGGTGGATCACCAGTAGAAGCAAAGGACGGCCGAGGAGCCGAGGAGGCTTTTTTGGGATCTCTGCCGGCTCTTGACATTGAGTAGCAAACAAAAAGAACCGTCGGGATTGTGCAGACTCATGCAGACTCATATTTGAGCAACGGCCAAAACGTGCGATGACATGCGATTACTAGTTTAGGAAGGGGCGGTTGTGAGTTCCAGGAATTTGGCCAAACACCTGCAAATGCATGCAAAAGAGATGGGGCCCTCAAAGGCAACAACCTTGCTGAATCATGTCGTCTACTTGAGAGTATGTTTTTGCAGCAACCCATATATGACTTCCTCTACAACCATGGCATGTCATCAATTCTATGATGGTCACCTGACTGGGTACGCTTGGGCAAAAACATTTTGGTCAGTGGGTGTGCATTTTTTGAGATTTTTTTAGACTTGCAAGACGCAAGTCTTGAATCTGGTTGAGTGATTTCGCTACAAGGTCATGAGTCATGATGCACCAAAACTTCGGGCCTTTCTCCAGCTGTTAGGCTCTTCTCTGGCAGCTGGCTTTATCGATCAACTGGATGTTTCGGAGGGCTTTGGATCGGTCGCCGCCGCCGAGGGCCCCCTGAGAGGTTTCTCTTCTACGTTTCATTCACCAAGAGTACCAAGGCCCAACCAGCAGCAGCTGTCGCTGGACCGAGCAGGCGTGTTCCATGGCTTGACCAAGACGAAACCGGGCGCACTCGTAGTCGTAGTCAGATGGAACAGGAGAAGAAAGAGACGGAACTCATACAGACCCGTGTGACTCACGTCAGGAAAACAACAAACCTCTGCATGCAAGTTCTGTATATTGTGCCTGAAACAATCATGGAAGCGGATGGCGCCCCTGGAAAGAACAAACAGATCCGGAGACCAAACAGGTGCTTGTCCACGAAACCATGTTTGTTGGAGGGAGGCTAGTTTTGTTATAACGGAACTAGCGCTGGACTAAGACCAACAGAATTGCATTCCATCCCCAAAGAAGTGGGTAACCATCCATTCTTCAAGGCCCTTAACTTCTACACCCTGGTAGACTAACATGGACCCTGAACCACTGGTTGTTAGAGGAAAACCATGGAAAACCATCTTGCAGGGGGTCAGACAGTCAGGGACACTCGGGAGTGTAACCAAAAGAACTGCACAACACTGGACCTTCCATCGCCCAAAGCGCCATGCCTTTCGTCCGCAGAACGGCCGAACCCTTCACGCCTTTCCACGACGCCAAACGATACGACGACGCGCGGTTTTCTTTGACGGGCTTCGGTGGAGGCACATGTGGAGGACCACTCACCAAAGAACCATTTGAAACAGCTGTTGGTTTCGATGATTGGCCAAGTGCAAACAACTCCATATTGGGATTGAACAATTGCAAAAAATATTTTTAATTGGTCCAATTTTGGAGGCTGGTCTCAGGTGGAGAAAACCTCCCAAAACGCTCCGCTGTTTAATCAGCACGCGTGCCGTTTCGTGTTTTCTGGACTGGAAACTCAGCTGTTGGAACTCGGCGAACTTTTTGTCCAGGAGTTCAGGGTTGAGGATCTCCAAGCCAAGAAAGATTGGTGTTTTTGTGTCTTCGAGTCGTTTTTCTCACCACAGAACCGCTGGTCGCACTAGGATGACACCATCACATGAAGATGGACAACGTCTTGGTTTTGTCTTCTCAGTCTTCCCAGGAATGCCATCCCTTTCCATGTTCACCGGACTCATCCGCTATACATCGTAGACTGACCATTCGCACATGCCGCCCTCAGGGGCCCAGCTCATCACTGGCGAAGCCAGCAAGCTGCTCACGCAGCTGGGCATTGCTGCTTGGTGTCGACAAGGGCCGACGTCCCCTCCCTTTTGGGGCTAAAGCGGCTAAACCTCATCGTCCGAAGTATGGGTCTGAACCCGGACCCTTTTGTTTGGGAGCGTTCCAAGCCCCAAGAGCAAGGGCTTGGCGGATCAGCGGATCGTCTGGTCATGAGCTCGGATGCTGCTTGAGTGCCTTTGATCGACACCTCCTGGCCAGTTGCTTTTCATCACCGCACTGAGACGCCCCTGTAGGGATTCCGTTTACTTCTGCTGCTTCGTGCTCGGACGTGTGAAGCGTGGTCAGAGTATACACAGCATACCAGCTCGCTCGTCGATGCAAGTGGCACGCGTGTTTCCCCAAAAAGAAAGAAGCCCACCTTTCGACTCGCTCTCTTCCTACATGCACGGACCTCTTCGCATCATCACTGAATGGACCAGGTCTGTATCGCAGGACCCACGAAAAGCCACGTGGACCGAGGCAAATGGGACAGAGGTCCATCTGAGCAACCGAGAAGCCAGCATCGCTGGACAGGCGAGACGGGGAGACAGAGACGGACTTCCGGACGGATGTCATGCGGAGCTTCCCATTGGATGTCACGCAATTTGCAGGAACCACCGGTGACCTACTGTAGTAATCGCTCGATCCGCCGGGAAGATCTATTTTAGACAGTTCTGTACATGGAATACGGCACCATCCTTTTATGCTTGCACCATCTTCTGTTTTTTGATAGCACCAGTCCCAGTGACCCGCGGGCCAAGAAAGCACTTTAACCCCGGGCCCAAGAAATCACCTAAACATTCAGAAGACATTCTTCAATGTGGGAAAGAGCCAAAGGGGGATGCACAGAATTCCACACGACCCCACAGGAGAAATCAAAAAACATCGCCGTGAACTGGAGAGGACGAGCCCTGTGAAGTCTGTCAAGCTGAATGATTTTTAGCGGTTAGCTGCAGCTAGATCGTGGACTGACATATTGACCCCCAAATCGGACATCAAGCAACATGAGCGTATACAAAGAACATCACTCACCTCATGCAACAGCACAGAAGATGAAGTTTGGATGCAGGAACTCCGACAGTGGCCAAAAGCATGCCATATAATAATAGTATCCTCCGATCCTCCATTAAAAAACGTGTGAGGCCTCCAAACCTATCAGCGCCTAGTGCTGGCAACATCCCAGCTCTCGGTCGCCCTCTTCGACCTCCCAAACGTCGCCTCCGGAGCGCTGCGCGGCAGCAGGTGCTCACGAAGGTTCCGGTGTCGGTGGAACCCGAGGAGCCCGCAGAGCTTGGCGTGTATTTGGATGAGACACAGGGAGACGGAGACATACTGAGACCAAAGCCCCCCCTTGGAAGGATATTGAAGTTCCCAAAGCCACTGGTTGAGGGGTCCCTGACAACTTATTACAACCTCAGATTGTAGCAGATGTTGGCAGAAAGGGTGCCATGGAGGGATGATTGATTGGATGACTGAGTCGGAGGATTTTGAGAAGCGAAGCGAAGCAACGGTTTCATGTCCATTTTCTACTTCAAGAGGGTGTGAAAAGGGAATGCCGCTGCTGTTGCTTTTATTGAACAACGGACCTCTGAAATGCCAGGAGCCAGTGGCGAAGGCCAGCGTCGGAGCACTCAGATGCGGCACCAAAGGTAGAGGTCCCAAGGTCAATACAATACTGCTCAAGACATGGATTGAAAGGGATTGGCATCCGCATACATGTTCTATCCGTTTGAGGTCTTTGGAGAAGAACACTAGGACGTCCTATGTTCTATCGTGGTTTCCGAGCCCGGTCTCCGAGAACGAGCCACTCCTTTGGTTCCGAGTTCGGTGTATCTCTGGTGGTGATGATTCTGAGCGGAGCCCGTTTTTCGGGCTCCGAAAGGCGCTGCCTTGTGCGTTTGTGCCTTGGGATCCCAAAGTAGCGGGCGGAGACTCAGAGTCCATCCGATGCGCCTATCCAAAAAGATGTGAGCCACCAAACCAATCTTGAGAATTTGCTCAAACTGGGAAGCGATGGGCCCGCCCTCCCCCCAAAGCGATGCCCATCCGAAGGACCAAGGAACACGAAGGATGAACATTGTCCAAGTGCAGTGTATTTTGTTTGACATGTGTTCTTTCTTTCAACGGCTTCTTGATCTGAAGGGGAATTCCACATGGAACTCTCCTGACATGGATGTCTTTTCATGTAAAAGGCCAGTCGACTTTGCAGTCCCCCAGCGATGCCCTTGATCATGCCAGTCCATCCCTTACCTACTTGAACATAGGGTGGTTTGCAACCGACAAAGATGTCAGTAGCTTGGTGAATGCTCTTAGCTGCGTGCAAAGCTCTTCTAGTGGCAGGTGAGCTTTGCTGTTGCCTTCGACTCGAGTGAAGTTTGGTTGTTTGTCTCCTTTGAGCTCGTGCTCATACATACACTTGTTTTGTTGGGGAAGCCCCGCCCCTTTCAAATCTGTAGGAATGTGACCGTGGTCCAACGACACTCCCTGAGGCGAATCATGCAGGAATCCCACAATACAATACAATACATGCATACTATATACAGTACTGTGACAATGGGGTGAATCTCCATCCAATCTGGTGAAAGTGGAAGTCATAAGCTTGGGATCTTCAATTAATTGTTACTTCTTTAGGATATTCTGATATTCACTAACATTGTTCTTACATGGAAGTGGATGGCACCACCTGTTTGGCATTCGGATTTCATGGTCTTCCTTTCGGGGCCATGCCATCCATGTACTCATGATGTTTTTCCGGGAGTGTACCGGGCGTAACGGCAAATTGGAACATGTTCTCGAACTGCTTGACCGCACCCCAAAGATAAAGATGCCCCAGTTGGATGGTGTAGCGCTAGGCTGTGTAGCGCGTTGAGGATCAAAACAAGGGCCCTTTTCCTGCATTCGACTGTTGACAAGATTACTGCACCAATTGAAATTGGAGGACATCCACGCGATTTGCAGGTTATTTGCAGTGTTTTGTTCTAACGAAGAAGCGCCTGTTCTTTCCACTCACAGCACCGAGGCACCTAGTGGACCTGCCAGGCGGATCCGTGGGGCGCACCAGGCAAAACGATCCACTGTGGGATCCGATCACAACCAATCACCACTTGATCACTACTTGATCTGGTTGTTTTTTTTGCTTTTTCTATTTTTAAACTTGTGGTGCGCCCAGCACTAGTTTTTTGTGCACTTATCACTGTTTTCTCACGAGTCTTTTGTGCACCAGGAAATCACCAGGATCTTTTTTCATTGTTTTTCTTCCCTTCGAACAACTGCGACATTTCAGGCGACAGATCATTGACCCGCAAAGCCACCAGCAAATTAAAAGATGCTCACCTGGCATGTGGATGCTCACCTAGCTTTGCGGGTTAAAGAGATCTTGTGGCTAAGTCACATGTAGGCTAAGTGATGCCAGTGACCTAGCCTACCTGGGATGTGAGTTTCTTGTACGATGATTCGATGATGTGATGCTGAGACACCGCAGCTCCCACATCCCACGTTCCGTCAACATCGCACCTACGCCCATCTCGACATCGAAGGGGTACGAACGACCACGTCATGTAGGGATGAACGAACACCGGCGATGGCAACAACCATTCGCAATCGCATGCAACAGGTCATTCTACGCGTGCAACGGGGTCGCGTGTTTGGGTCGTTGATGCACGCGGCGAGTGTTTGGGTCGTGGTTTGCTCTCGAGATCCATCAGGGTGAAACAGGTGATTCTTCCCACCAAGAGACTGTGCCCCTGCTTCCCCCCTCTCCAGGATTAAACGGTATAATGTATAGTGTTTGGGGCCCGGACGTACCATAAGACCGATGGCTTTTGCCTGGTTGCCAGGCAGTGCCGGGGGTGCTTTTCTTTTCAAGAGTAGGACGAAGCTCCTGCGAATCTTCTGGCTTCTGCTCCGCCAGTAGTTCTTCTGCAGCGGTGGCTGCCTCAGTGGGTGCTGGGTGGGATGCCTGCTGGTTGAGGAGGGACATTGTGAAAGCTATAATATATGCCATGCAAACATCGTGTGTTGGAAGTCGTTTCTATCAGATTTTGTTCTGTTCGCAATGTGGAGACCTCTGCAGTTTTGAGCATCCGGCCTACTCTACTAGATGTTCTTGTAGATGATGAAAAGTAGAACAAGTAGATTCAGATAGGCCTCGTGATTCTGGGAACAAACCCAATCTACAGCCCCCAAAGGGAAGCAGTTGCAGTGTTTTCTCCACAAAATAGGTTAAACATGGTTAAACATGGCACTGGCACGTCATATCATTTTGAGACAACACCCAAGTCTGTGCTTCCGCCACAGATATCCAACTGTTTACACATGTTGACCATTTCGTATACATTTCTTTCCACAAATCTGATTTCTTTCACTGGATTCTCCAGAAAAACCGCTTGACTGAGGCAAGCTCCTCTCCTCCCAAGGCCAGTGCTGATTTCCATCCTCAGCCACGAGCGTCTCTCCACAGCGCTCTGGGCTTTTGAACCGAATGGCCAAAGCTCCATACCAAAATCTTGCTCCTAGTAGCGATGCCCTTTGCTCCTAGTAGTAGCGTCCTTGCTCCTAGTAGCATGGCCAGGATCCCCTGGTAGCGTCCTTGCTCCTAGTAGCGGTGTCCTTTGCTCCTGCTGATTCCGCTCCCTCCTCCCCCCTCTCCGGAGGCCGTTGCCGATGGCAAAAAGGTGGGACGGTCGGAGGGCGCGGACAGAGGGTCGGAGAGGGTCGGATAGGGTGAGATAGCTATCCTCTTTCTCCGGAGGTAGGGTAGTGGTTAACTGAGGGAACTGTAAGACTAGCAATCGAAATGTACACGACTTTGTATCACTGATCCGTTCTTCAGATCAAACACATACAGTACATACAGCTGTGCACAGATTCTGTTTTGAAAGCGAAGGAGCCGGGAGTGGTCCCAACCTTGACCAAGCGCACAGCGGCTAAACCCAAGGTGACTGGCAAGCGAAAAGAGTCAAAGAGTGACACCTGGCCGTGCTATGGGAGCCTTAGAGGAGATGGTCTGTTCTGACCTCGCGTAGGTCAGGTCAGCTCGTCTGCGACTCTAACTCTCAGCTACATCTGCAAATGTTGCCTGTGACATCTGTACAAGGATGCTAACACGGGTCTCTACATGCACTGGCGCTGACCTGAACGAAGTTTCTCCCGACCATCACGAGATCAACAGTCTGAATCCGCCTACAAGAGAACCGCCGCTGTAGCTTCAACCTGCATAGCGAACTCAAGAGTAGAGAGATGTGGGACGACGAAGCCCAACCGAAGCACGAATGCCCGATGCGGGTGTCATGTCGGGGCTTAGTAGGCGAAATCAATCAGCACGCTCAGCACTTGGCAGCTCGCCATCTCCTTGCGGAAAGGGCCCGCCGGCCCCATGGCTCAGCACCGCGAACCGATGGTGGTGGTGGTGGTGGTGGTGGTGGTGGTTTTAGATGGGGATCGGATATATGCTGAAGTGCCACCTTCAGTGCACAGTCTGGTGGAGAACTCCCGCCATAATTGTGTTCCAAGTGGATGGTTGCACAATTTTCACACGTATAGTCTAGTCTGTAACAAGCTTCTGGTGAATCCAACCCAAAAAATTTACAATTGATGAAAAGCATGTGATTTCTTGAAAAGTAAGGCGCAGCAACGATTATGTTGAGGGCTCGGGCCCCTGGCTTTCCAGAGGAGACACGCGAGACAAACTGATCAATTGACACCCATGTATCTAAGGCCATAAACCACCGTACAGACCCAGAATCCTCCAGGAGGTGGAGCGAAAATGCCATGGAAAGAACACGAAAACGTCTTGCGGACCCGGCTCACTCGATTCTTCTCAAGTTGGAACCGGACTTTTAGTCACTTGGTGGTTCCCAGATCTGTTCTAGATTCAACTCTTACCTAGCACGGAACCACCCACCAATAAGCTCGGCGGCTTTGTTTCAGGACTCCCTGGTTTGGAGTGTCGTATACTTCATCTGGCGCCGACCGCTGGTGCGCAGGCTGACCCCAAATTCGAGACGTTTGATGCCTTCCTCAGAAAACGACAGCACCTTGGCGGCCAGGTCTGCAGACCTTGAGGCAGGTGGAGGTGAGCCAAGGTCTTGAGCAACATTATTTGCGGAATGAGGCTGACACCTCATAAGTTCAGCAGGTGAAATTTGGTTCTTAGACCACGTTAGGCCATGTTAGACAATTTTTTCATGTTTATGGGTTTTTCCTGTGATCCCATGCTGAACTAAGGTATGATGTTGGAGCCCTTCCAGGCAACCAGAAGTATGTGCCATGCGCTCAGGGACCGGGGGTAAATCCGGAGCGACATGGCCGAGTCTGACGTGATGGGTTTGTCAGATCACTTCAGTAAGCAACGGCTGGGTAAGGTTTGTTGATTGGCAGTTGATTCACCCAATTCCACTGAGGACACAGCGCATTTCCCGCATCATCCATAGGAATGTATTAAAAACCGTTGAGCCACGTTTCTTGCGCCAGTCACTTGGAACACGTGGCCCCTGTAACTGCGCGCGATTCGGTGACACTTAATAAAGCGCATGCTTGTTCTCCTACTTGAGAGAGGTCAATCCCGCGCCCGCCGGTGTTCCAAGGACTGGACAGATCAAGAGAGGAGGTATGATGAAGTCCTCCCGACTGACGCGTTTGGAGTTCGGTCGAACGACCGTTTCACCGACCGACCTCGGTGCAATGTCGAGCTCGTTGCGTCGGTCCGGCACGCCGGCGGGGGAGGTCGGGTCGGGTCTGTGCGTTGCGCAGGGAAGCTCCGGTGTCCCTCCTACAGTGGAAACGTTGGTGAAGCCCAGATTTCGGGGGCCAAGGAAGAGCGTCCTTTTCTCCCTTTGCTTCTACTTTGCTGCCCTGTGAGTTGGATGCAGGGATCTAGAGGATAATGATATATTGAAACTCAAAGCTACAGAGTGTGATGGGCCTAGTTCCCCAACACCGAGAAGGCCAACGTTACGCCTTGGCGTCGCAGACCGACCTTTTTGTTCGAAATGAAGACGACGCGGTCCCGCTCGGACGGGATCGGCCAGGATTCCGCCCTCCGTGTCCATTAAGCAGCAGCCGTGCGCGGATACCGCGCGGATCGCGTGGGTGGGGGAGGACGTCGATCCGCCTCCCAGCTGTTGGAGCTCGAAGCTTCACGATCCGTTGGGTTCGTTCTACAACGGATGGCCTGGTCAACTTGAGCGTATTGGGAGGTCTTAGATGGTCTTGGATGGATGGCGAAAGAGAGGCGGATTGAATACATTCTCCCTGAACTTTCTACTTGAGGCCGGCTCAGCTTAGCTCTAGTTCAAAGCACGCAGACCTTTTTCCCCCCGTCACGGTCTTCGTCTATTCATGTCACTTCTGGGTGAATTTCCTCATTGGGGCACGTGCAGGAAGGGAGGACTGTTTTGACATCGGGAAGCGAGATGGCAAGCCGGACCTCTTGCAGCTCCAGAGTCCTGTCTTCAACACCACATCCTGACGAGCGTCTTTTCAACTTACCCCATAACCTTCAACCTTTTGGAGGATTGGTTTCCCTACTAAACAAGAATAGGTGGAGAAAGATCAAACATCTATTTTCCAGGAACACTGAGGGAGTCAGTCAAAGAGAATCTGTGGCACTTGCGCTCTTTTCCTCTCCGCAGCTCAACAGACGACAGCCCGAGCAGACGATACGCCGACACGCCGACATTAGGCCCTCAAAGGCTCAACAGGCTCGGCGAGATCCATCGGGACACGAGGCCCTCCATCGGTCCCCACCAGTTCGATGTGCAGTAGCCCAACTCTGAGATTCAGGACATGATCAGGACATTTTGGGTGACCTATTCAAAATAGGGAGACCGACCTACTTCTTCGACCCGGTGGAAGAAGGAACGACAAAACCCAATGGTTCCGTGTCTCCCTATGCCATTATATACTTGTATCTACTGTATCTATACATACATCATATATGATATCAATGATATCATAGCATGTCGCAAGTTAGATGCAGTGGTCCTCCTGAACACCGAAGTTTCCATCTGCAGATCTTCGCATTCTGACATGACTTTGGCCACTTCTGATGTTTTTCCACCCGGGTGACCCTGTCTTGTATCAAACCTGCGATTTTGCAGGTTCTTTGTTACTCTTCACAGATTGAAGTCAAAGTGTGAGAGTATGTGAGAGTGAAAAACAAGGGACGCAGCCCGCGACGCCTCTGACGCATCATCATAGGCAGAGAAAACTGACCCGATCCGCTCGAGCCATCCCTTCGCAGTTCCGCGCGTTGTGGACTGCGCCATGGCATTCTCATCCCGCCATGGTGGACCATGCTCGAGTGGGAGATCCAAGAGCTTTCCGAAACTGACATGACGGACAGGGGATCGTTCGCTACAAGGTTTTCTCAGGGGTCACCAGGTTTTGGTGCATCGCATCACGAGGCTCAGCCCAAGATGGGTGCTTTGGATTCTTCTCTGAGTGCATCTCCTCCTGCGGGGATCGATTCTGGTTTCTTGATCGACGCGGTGGGCTTCAGCGTATGAGACCCCGTGCCGGGGGGTGGTGTTGCCTCTTGGGTTGTTTGAAGCTGATGACTCCCCTGGTCCCAGGCAAATGAGTTGCTTTCAAAAGATGATTCTGTTCATTGGACTTTCACCGGTACACGTCCCGATGCATCCAACTTTCCGGGGCGCAAAGGCGCAAGGCGCTTAGGGGCCATCTGGCCGGTGGAACACACATTGATTGAATCTCCGAGATGTTTCACTGGCCCATTGTTGCTATCATTGTATGCATAGGGAGTTTGGACATACCCAGATTATGGACAAAGAAGTGGTGCTTGAGCTTTTGTCCACATTGCAACCAACTTAGCCATGATTGACTGGAGGGGCTCCTGGAAACAAGAAGGACCAGGCTGCTTCCAGCACTTTTGGCTCACAAAGAGTCAGCGGAATGTTACATCTCATGCCTATACCTACATTCTGCACCCGAGCTAGATTCTAGATTTAGATTATCAGATACGATCAGGTTGAAAAGTGTAGAGTGTCTTGGAAACACACCGTGTTGGCAATCTGTTAAAGGCAAATGCGGCACATTTCTGCCATACACATACATTTTGGTCTTCAATTACAGATAGAAGACCCACTCCCTTTGAACATCTAGAACAGCACACCAGTTTCATCGTCTCTACCTACCTACCAATTTCATCTTCTCATATCTTCTCTAATTTTTCCCAAAAAGCCACTCGAGTCGAACCGTTTTCTTCTCGTGTTTGTCGCCTCGTCGGGTCAAGCGGTTTCGTTCGAGGTCCTGGTGCTGGGCGATGGCGACTTGAGCTTTAGTGCTCTTGGCTGAACTGGGTGGATGAATAAGAGGATTCGGGAAGGAACGTGTCTTGTTTTGCGAAAGGCTATCAATGAGTCTTTCTTTTTACTCTTTCGTGTGAGACATGTTGTGAAATAGCTCATTCGGTTTGATAACTTTTCAGCTGATGAGCTTTTTGAACTTGTTCTTGTTGTTCTTGTTGTTGTTTTTGTTGTTGCGATGGTTGAATCTGCTGACCGCTCGGTAGCTTGATGATTTAGAGGTTGCGGCAATGCGAAACTCGATCCTGTAAAAGGAACTGGAACAACCGTCGCGATATTGCATGACATGAAAGATACACGGATACCAGTGAAAGTCCATCAGAGTTCAGGGGAAACGCTGAGGAACTGATGAGCCCGAACTGTTGTGCGCACGATGTCGTGCCATCGGATTCAATGAAAGACAGAGGGAAGCGAGTGAAAGTCCAGCAGACTTTGGGGGAAACGTTGCGACATTCGCTGTGTTGCGACGCAGCTTTGTCTTGAGAGCTCGCGCCCCTCTCTTCTTCGCACCCGTATCAGCCGCAGTGCCTGCGAGATGACTATCTACGGAGCAACTTGGACGCAGTTGCTTTGAGTCAGTTAGAAACTACTCAGGTCGTCAGTGCTCACTCTCAAGCACGCTGCCTTTGTGCAGCAGACATCCTCGACCAGCTTTGTCCCAACGCGCTGCGAAAAACTTGTGTCTGTCAGGTCGCATCAGGTCGCCCTGATCGACATCGCGTGATAGTTGTCAAAGGACTTCCACACGATGCCAAAGCAGAGAAGTTAAGCCGAGACTTCTCTGCAAAGGTCGAGGTGGAGCACGTCAAGGCAAGTGCGGCAAGAACAGATGATTTTCTTCATTCTCTTCATTGCCATATTCAAAGTCAACTAGCCAATTTTCCTCGCCATGCTTGACTTATGTCTTATGCATATTTTCTTCTGCGCAGGTGGTTGCGCGGGACGTGAAGTACACCGCCGCCCCAATCAGACTTAAAGACGCACAACACGCGTGGAAGGCTGGTTGTGGACTATGCCGGTACATGGTACATGAACCGGCGAATCGTTGTGGAGATGTCACGATGCGGCGAATAGCCAAGTCGTGCTCTCCACCTTTCTCTTTTTGCATTTAGCAGTCTGGCTTTCCAAGCAAAAAATGATGGAATCCACGAACCCGAATGCAAGCACGCAACAAGCAAAGCTCGACGCTCTTTAGGATACACTCTAGTATGCGGTGCTCTTGTGGGGCACTCTTGTAGAATACTCTTGTGGGACACTCTCGTGCCACGCTCTTGTGGGACGACGCTGGGACTGCTTGACCTGACAAAGCCAAGTTGACCCAATTTGGACGTGCAGCCATTCAGAACGTTTCATGCTTGAACTGTCCGTTTGATCTAGGGCCGCGATGACGGTGCTCTCTCAGAAGCGTGCCTCAGGTTGCCTGTATATACCCTGCATGGGGGAAAGGCTTCTCGAGGGACGCGTTCTGGTGGCATGTGTTGCCAAATCTCCGCGGCGCGGCAGATTTAAACAACAACGCGCAGATATACATTCAACCAAAGATAAACTTACCACGCATCTATCATCTTCAGCCACCTTCCCACCTCTATATTACCAATCTACCATCTTCAGCCGCCTCCCAAGCCACATGCATCCCACCTGAATAGTGCGCATCAGTCTATCGTCTTCAGAAGCCACCTCTGAATTAGCCATCTATCATCTTCAGCCGCCTCCAAAGCCACATGCCTCCCACCTCTGAACTACCAATCTATCATCTTCAGCCGCCTATATGACAATGACCAATCTTTCATCTTCAGCCGCCTCCGCAGCTCGTCGCGGTAAAGGTCGCAGTTGTCTGCCCGATCAACCGAAGTCAACTAAATTTTCGTGGACGGCCTAGCTCTGACCAAATAGATTTGGAAGGAACTGAGATTGGCCCAACGCGCTATGCACTACCGGCGGACCATTGTCTTTGCAAGAATGCTTGCCGCAGGTGCAGGGGGGCCAGCTTTCCACACTCGTCTTAGTTTTATCTTAGTTTCAACACAGCTTCGGTAGTAATGTACTTGTATATAAGTAAGGCTTTCGTGTGAAGAATTCCGACTGTCTCATTTTCTATAGGTCAAGACGGAAACTTTCAGCGTGGTACAACCAGCAAGGCCCCAACCTGTGTACAGGTGGTCATCGTTATGGAAATGGTCGACTGAAAAGTGGCTACACAGAAAGAAACGGAAGCGAAGAGAGGGGGTGAATCGAGAATGGCTTGCTGCACGAGCTAGAGGTCTTCGAGAAGCGAGCATTGAATAAGGGCGGTCAGACGTGAGAGCGAAACGGCATAGATGCAGGACATTGACATGAAGTATGCGGGGGCTATGTATGCCGAGGATCGGAGTTTAACCTGAGACATGCAAAACAGAGGACATTTATGTTTCGTTCTTGGAATGCGCAGCACTTCGTGTCTAGTTCGCGAATGAGCGCACAACCTATGAATGGAAGAAGGAGACGTGCGCACGCTGAGCAAGGTGTGAACATTAAGCATTAAACATAACACGCAGAAATCATATGTGTCGCACAAACCCGTTCTCGGCGTAGCAAGAGAAGTCCGCAGCAATTGGGCATGTCATGAACGCTGGCGCTGCGGAGATTGATTTTCGGTTGGATAGGGTTGATGAACGCCTACCTCTACAAAGAAGGTATAGCTTGTGAGGAATACGCGCTGAAGCGACGTAGAGGGGGAGGTTGCAGTTCTGAGCTAGGAACCGGGAAGGTGCATGAAAGAAATGTGAATGGTTCGTTGAGAAAACTACCGTCTTCACCTTGTTCTGGGGCATGAATGCATCAAACGTTGTTAAGAAGCGTTAACCTGGGATTGTTACGCCAAGAGTTTCCACAAGAAGAAAGTTACGCCAAGAGCTTCCACAAGAAGAAAAAGAAAGCAATTCTTAACGCGTACAAGAGAATTGCTTCGAATCTGTGCGGCGTGCTGTGCTCAGGAAATGCGCCGGTCCAACGATGACCCCTTGGAGCTGAAGGGTGGCCGAAGACTGTGGCCAGACGGTGTCGGGAACTAAAGCGGTGTTGGGTTTCGAACCCGGTTGGATTTTGAGCATTTCCACTTGGGGTGATGCGACGGGCGCAAGGGTGGCCGGCGCAAAGCGCTTGGAAAGCCGCCCGGGAGCAGGCCGGGCGGTCAGAGAAGCGATCTGTGTACGGCGCGCGCATCCGACACAGGTCTCCGGGTGCCCCTGCGCCCGCTGTGCTTACTCATGGCCTCCCTCAGCAGACCCTCCTATAGACTGCAAATCACACTGTCAGGGACACACAAAGGAGAGCCGGCGAGCCGAGGCGACAATCGTGGCAAGAGCTACAGCACACCCTCCTATAGACTGCAAAGCACAATGCCAGGGACACACCAACGAGAGTCGCAACCCAAACTTGAAGTCTTCTCCCATTTCAAAATACCTGCGCCCTGTTGTGAGCCTCCGATGGTGACTTGAGAGTGTTTTCAGCACATCTGCCGTAGCAATTTTTGGATCTCTAGCGTTCCTCGAGATAAAGCCGTTTGGCAATTTATGCGGATAGATCAGAACCACCTTGGCTGACAACCGAAAACGAACAGAATAGACCACTGGGGTTTTGACACGCAGCCATATATGGATTACTCACAGAGGCAACCCGCGGACGAGAAGATGTGCCTCGTGCTGCCCTTTTGATGACCAGTTTGCATCCTTCCCCCCCTTCCTTCCGTCTGGGTGGTGTTCTATGGCAATAACAAGTTGGTTCTGGTTCTCCAATTCCGACTGCGTGGTTTTAGTGGTTTCCGCTGTTTTCACTGGTGTGTTTTTTCTATTTTTTTTCGTGGGTGGCGATGGACAGATGGTGCCTTCCGTGTGGTCGTCTATCTCTCAGGCGCCGCCCTCCACGAGAGCGCGCCAGATTTGAGGCGGTCGATGATGTCGGTTCGAGCGAATCTGCTTTTGGTGAAAGAATCAGCTCAGACCCCCCGAAATAGCAGGCTCTTCGCACGTGTGGTCTATATTGTTATACCCCTTTTGGCAGGTCGTTTTGGAAGGTGCCAGGCAGGTGGAACTTTGTAGAAGGAATCTCAGGTGGTGCAAGTTCCTTCTTTGCAGCAAAAACAACATTGCCCAAACAAAGGTTGATGCTTACGGACAATCCCGACGAACTCGACCACCGAGCTGCTGGATTGGCTCCACGTGGGCTCTGGGAATGGATGCATCTTGACACCAACAAGAGGTCCATGGGTGCAACATCAGAGCTGAGCAATTCCTTTGTCTTACGCCCCTGTTTTCTGAAGCACGTTCCTGCACCAATCAATGATGCAGTAGCTCTATGAACGGTTTTTCAGTAGCTACAGGCGTGCCGTTGATTGCGCTGCAAAGATGCCCGGTGGTCCAGGAGCTCCAGGTCCCTCGTTTGAAGACTCATCGACGTAAGTGTCGTCCATGTCGTCCATGAGGGTTCGATCCAAGAGACGAGTCAAAGCCGGATGAAGGCTTTTGGTTCAAGACTTTACACCACTATGGTCAGGACCCTTTACAAACAGATCCCTTGAAGAAAGGACGTGCTGCGTGGATGCTGCGGTTTGGGGACGAAGATCACCGATCCCAGACACGGCCAGTCCACACTGGTCCCATGGCCGGACTGCCGGAAAACGGAGTGGTCCGTGCCGTCAGCCAGTTCACTGGATCACCTAGGTGATTGGGGGACCCCACAACAAGGGGTGCCTTCGCAGGCGGAGAGCTCGGAACCGGAACCGGTGTCCGCCCGATCGAAAGGCTTTTCCAGGGAGGTCATCGGGAGTCAGAAATCCTGTCGGTCTCGCACCTGTGGATTCCTGTCAGTTCCTTCAGCTGAACTCCATCCGCGTCGCCTTTTGCACGGCGCGGAGAGACTCCGCGCCCTGGACAGGATGGTGGCCACCACTTTTGAGTCGCGCGAGGAGCTGCCAAGTGGTGAACGAGACTGATCGCATTTCATTGACGAGAGTGCGGACTGCATTTCATGCCTGGCAGGTCACATTCATCCTCTAAGTGGATTGAAGCACCACTGAACTAGGATGAACTGTAGTAACTAGGTGCTTTTCCTGGCCTTGCAACGAACATTCATCCTCCAGTGTTCTTCCATATCAATCGGGGGAAGAGCCCATGCAGAGCTCGGAGCTGGGAGATTCTTTGGTCCCATGTCGGTCAATGGTCGGCCTGCAGATTTGGAAGAGAACTGAGATGAACACCACATGAGACCACAGAGGGGCCACCATATATGCCACCTGCAGACATCAGTAGACCGATTTTTGGGCGATAGCGGCTACAGTTCTCGGTCCAGACCAACCCGAAAAAAGAGACATTTGGTAGATTTCTACAGACCACAGGATCTGTGATCCAATTTCTAGAGCCAAGCCAAGTCCCCTTTCCACGAATCTGGCATGATCATCTACGAATCAATACGAATCAGCCCTCCCTCCTTCAGGAGTTGTTGCGACGCTATGCGTGTGCGCATGAACACATCGCCGCTTTGGAAGAGGCCAGACTTGGTCGATGGGTCCGGTCCGGTCCGCCAAAGAAGAACATCGGATGGAGGGCCTGTCAAAAAACCATCATGTCACTGCTGTTGTGGAAGGGGATTGGTCAATGGGATAGACCCAACGGATCTCAAATGGCTTTTATGAGATGTTCCGAAATGCCTGATATTCGTGCTGTTTCTGGCGACAGTGTCGTCTCGTCAGACAGCCAGCTGGACTCCTGAACCTGAAAGAGAGGCCGGTGCCATAGTATTGCACGAGGTGGATGCCACTCGCTTGCAAACATTCTCAGGCACAGGGGCTGGGAGACGAAGACGAAGACGCACATTGTTTATGCTAGTCAGTCAGTTGCGCGTGGTTCTCGTCCATCAGCGGCCATGTATGTATTTTATTGTATTTTGATGCAATAATTCGTTGGTTTTGCTTGTTTGAGCAAAGATAGTGATCATCTACGTGCGCTATCTCCGCACGAGACTGTGAGAGACTGGCGCCTTTGGAGCTGTTCAGGGGTAGAGTGACCATGGCCGGTGGGAAGCCCATCCAGTTGAGGACATTTGTTCAAAAGTCCTCGTCATCCGCGAGCAGGATTACCTCGTAAACCCTCTGACCAGCCCATTAGGTTTAGTAACAAGAAGCTACTAGGGGCTCCTGGCATCGCTACTAGGAGCAAGGACGCTACGAACGGGGCTCCTGGCCGTACTACTAGGAGCAAGTAGCTAGTAACAAGAAGCTACGAACGGGGCATAAAACTGTCCAGACCTTCCCCGCCCGGTGGACCAGACCCTCCACGCCCACGGTCTCGACTCGGCGAGGTGGCGATGGCACCTTTCAACGGATCATCTTCAACTTCCCCTACCAGGCATCGAGCTTCCGTGGATTCCACATGATTTTAACCACACCTATAGTCACTGATTGCCCTACTTACATGCGCTGATAGATACAGATGATACAGGACAAATACGTACCTGGCACCGACCCCCTTCGTTCCTTCTTCCCGCACGATGACGTGATCCGTTTTGGACGCCAGGGATCGGTGGGATCGGACGGGATCGGTTGCGCCACACCGGTCGAAGACAGAGGTGATGTGGACCTGGCTCGTGATGGAAGGTCTTGACTGAACAGTGTGCTGGATGTAGTATACATTTTTTTATAGTTGTTTTTTTCCTGATCTATATATATATATATTATATACATGAGACACTGCACACGGACTCTCCGTCTTTCGACCACACATGTGGAGCTGACGTACCATGTGTCATAGTGTTTCTTGTGCGTGTTTACATGGTGACATGTGTGCTAAGTAGATCCCCACTGTAAAAGAGTATTGGAAAGTGTTTCCCTATCTATTTGGGACTACAAAAAACATAAAACAAACACATGCACAAGTGGTGACCCTTGGGTTTTTCCCTTGAAAACCAGCCTATTTTTGATGGTGACCTTTCACATTCATGGCGACTTGGCCCAGCGACCCGACTTCTCCGTCCGTTTAGGAGACGGTCAGACGTCCGGGTCCGGCTGCGTCGAGGCCTTTGGGGGCATCAAAGGCCTCCGCCGTTTGCTGGGCCAGTTCTTCGCGTGGATCCCCGGCGGGCGCCGTGACCTTTCTGCGGGGCGGAGGCAGAGCCGAACGGCAAAGGAGTGGGTCGTTGGGGATCGTTTTCGGGGAGTGAACCCTCCCACGGGCAAAAGGGAGGGATGTGCATCTACGTAGAGTGAATCGCCTGCCAGAACTCGACAGTCCGCAGGTGTTTTGGGAGGCTCTAAAGGGGTCACACCCAAACACTCTAATGACATGTGATGGATTCATTTAGAGACTGGTGAAAACCATGGCCATGCTGGGTAAATCGGTAAATCTCTGCAACGAATCCCAGGAAGGTGCTCGACTTCTCCTCAGTCTGGATGGCTGCATCGAGGTGGACCGCTGGTTTCTGTCGGTTTTACATCAAAGTGATGATAGAAACATCTACTACGTAGAAGCTTTTCCTCTTGCCGCACGAACTCAATTGAGAGGTGATGACTTGGTCTTTCCTTTGCATGTTTTGGGCTCTTTGAACGCTAATTCCAAATATGGATGAACGCGAAGTGGGTGAATCTACTGCGCCGAAGAGGGCACCTGACTCTACGGGTCAACCACCTGACTCTACGCCTCCATTTCGGGTCTGCCTGTCGAGTCAGGTGCTGGTGTGTGTGTGTGTGTGTGTCCCACCCTGGACAAAGGGTCTTACCCCACCACTTTTCCACAGGCAGGGGGGC